TAACTAGTTACTACTAGATATATATATATATATATATATATATATATATATATATATATATATATAATATATAAATATGTATATATTATACATATATATATATATAGTATATAGATATACATATTGCGATCTCGCCGCTTGCAATAGGTATGACACATATCAGTAGTTGCTACTATTAGATACCATACATTGATATCAGTTTTACATACGTTTACAAGACCTCCTTGCGCTAACCTATATCGAGACTAACCGAGATTTATGCTGTGTTGATGTAGCACTCGGTGTAGACCAATCAACTAGAAGTGTAGGGGTGATGAACTGTGCTTCAAAGCTCGTTAACTGTATCAATACTGTGAGCAGAACCCCCTGTTCATTGAGATCGTATTATGTCAACGATGATTGAGCGGAGAGCAACGTAAAGTGTATCGTAGGTCTGCCTATAATAATTTGCAGAGTATCCGAAAACGTATGTCACCAAGCCACAATAATTAAAAGGTCTATTTAGTCCTTGACTCGTGCTTTGGGCGAGTCGGACATCGGAGAATACAATGAAACGTGAAATAAGTGTAAGCACCTACAACACATCTTTTACCACATGTGCAAGCCTTGTCCAAAAAGGAGAGCTGTCGCGGGTCTGGAATACTGTACAAAATACAATACTAACGACCTAGGCGCACAGGCAATGATCAAAGATTACATACCACTTCTACATATGCTCTAAACTATTTATCATAGCTATACGTGTACACGTACTGTATTTAAAATGGCACTCTCTATCTATGCGTGTGGTGATGCGAGGTTCTCTCGGTGGCCTTTGCGTTGTTGGGATATGTGTAAATATGTACATATGGTTGTATGAATGTAAATAAATATTATAGCCTTTTTCTGAAGTTCAGACAAGGCTGTCATAGCCTTCTTGATAGGTAAGGCTATGTATCAGCAACAGAAGGCTATGACATGAGCCATTGACTGTATAGGTAAAATAGAGACCGAGTGCATCACCAAGTGTTCTTAGGGGTCTCTTGGTGTACTTTGTTCGTTTTTTTTATGTAGCCTTCTAAATTAAAATTAGGGCGGCAAAACAAAATAGTGTGAAAAAAACTCAAAAAAAAAATTCCAAATACCCGCCGAAGAGGCGGTAGGAGGGCAGGGCCAGTCATATAGTCACACTCATCCGATCATCAGTCACATTCCCCATTCATTGCTACATTCATTGGCCACATTTTTTCGAGTTATTAGTGATCGACTGATCGTTGTACATTTGTCATGTAGGAGGTTATGAAATATACATAAATACATCGGCACAGGTACTTTACCCTGGCTTATCCTTGAATACAATGGCAGACAATGACGGAAGTCCATCGCATGAACGCACACTACATGAGGAGAAGAAGCAAATCGAAGAAGAGTTTTTCGAGGAGCAGGCGGCTCGCTCCGTTGCTGGGCAACAGAGAAGACGCGTAACAGTACAAACAAGAGCAGGCGAATCGTTTGGTGTGAGCATCTGTCGGTTTGGAGTATCATTTTACATCACAGAGGTTTTAACGGGTATGCATTCCGATTCAATTTTTGTCAACGCTTATAGTCCGCAATGTGTGTCTGATCCGTTGCTATTGCCGTGTACGTACTTTAAGTGTTCGACCGCTTTACTAGTAGTTATATCCTTGTCATTCGGGCTCGTACGCGGTTATTTGTCTTTCCTATTGCCGTGATATATTGTCGAGAACCATATAGAGTCATTTCGATATTATCGGAGTGAGTGTGACTTTTGCATTTGGGATCTGTGACCCGCGTACAACTATATTCCTATGCAATGTCACATTCGATTAAAATCGCTCTAGCTGCTTGGAGTACATGTGATGTGATGGTGTTCACTTCAATATCTAGTCTGTCATCAGTTATTCGTTAGTTGTAACGATTGTAACTAAAGGTCCGAGGACATCTATACACGGGTAGTAGCTAAGTGAAGATTGTGATGTGATGGTGTTCACTACAATATCTAGTCTGTCGTCAGTTATTCGTTAATTGTAACGATTGTAACTAAAGGTCCGAGGACATCTATACACGGGTAGTAGCTAAGTGAAGATTGTGACGGCTGGCACGTGGTGCAAATGTATAGTTTGTCATAAGTTAGTCACGCGTGTGCCTACCTGCGTGATATAAAACTCCATAGGTGCCGAGTTCGGGCTCAGCACATTCGTACCTGCTCCATGTGACTATTTTGGGAGGGTGGATTCCTTGTGACTATAAACCGGGAAGGTGTTAAACTTTCAAAAACTAAGTACTGTCCAGATCTGCTATGCTACATGTAGTAAATTTATTTTTATAGCTAAATGGTACCTCTCAACAACAAGGATAATTTCAAATAGAGCTCATCTCACTCGTGCTCCGCCGCTTAACCCGAAACAGGGTGTGATAGAATCCGTCCGAAAGGAAAGTTCACACCCATTCTGATCTGTTTTAAAGTAGAATGCAATCGTATTAACACTACTCAGGAACGAAGGCATATGCAGCCGGCCTGAGTGTAGGAGATCGTATCGACTGCGTGAATGAAGAAACTGTGCAAGGGAGTGACAATTACAACTCCGTTGATATATTAGAGATGTGCAAAAACTTCGACGAGATTCGTTTAATGGTTGCTGAGAAGCCCATCACCCGTTTATGGAGAGTGTACCAGGACCCTACGGTTACCCGTATGTTGGCTATGTTTATTTTTGTATAATCGGGTGGTTGTACGGCCGTTTGGCATATGATTTCGAATGCAAACGTTGTATACGTGCTATATTTTGTTTGGATTTCAGTAGTAGCTCGTATGTTGTATACATATGGTGCTCCTTTCCTATGGATATGTTTATACTACATAAATTAGTTACTGACACCATTGATAACCCTTTATTTATGTCTATAATATTTTGTGTATGTATTATACAAACATAAAACACAACAATATTAGAGTATTAAAGCTATGTATCTGATTGTACGTTTATGATCCAACGCATAGCTGAATTTTCTAGTGCTGTGTGTATAAGATCATACCTTTTGTATCTTCACATATATACATATATATATATGTGTGTGTATGTTTGTATGTATGTATGTATGTATTACGTACATACCGTTATGTATATATATATATATACATATATGTATGTATATGTATATATACATATATATGTATTTATATATATGTATATGTATATATATATATACATATGTATATAAAATATGTGTGTATATACCTTTACATATTTTATATATAGGTTTGTTTTATGACTTAAACATTGTTGAATTCTTCCGTTGTGCTGCCTATTATTAGCTCATACTATCCTGATTACCTTGTCTTATTCATCAGGATTGTTATATAGTACAGTCTGTTTTTATTTACAAATCGTCAATTTTCATTTATTATATAGGGGCTGTGCGCATGGACGACGACTTAGGTCGGCCTGTTGTACACCTCGCCGCCACGGACGCGATGAACGAAATGCAGCCAGGACTGACTATATTTGAGGTGAATGGTCGCGATGTTCTGCATCTACATGATAAGGATGTGATCAATTCTATGGTGAAAGCGTTAGAGAAGCAGTTAAGGGTTGATGTGTCGTTTGTACCGACAGTGTTCGCCAACGAAGTGGTGAAAGCAAGGGAAGCACGGAGAGAGCGATATAGACAACAGGGTGGAGTATCACATGCGACCGGTCAAGTTTCGCTAGCGGTTGGCTTACGAACCGGGACACCGACAGCTCATGGGCCCCAAACGACATACTCAAGTAATGTAGCACCTGCAGTTCGTGCGCCTCCAGTTCAGACACCTCCGGCAAATAATTCTCAAAGTAACGCTTACTGATAAGATGCCGCAGCCAAAGTGTACATGACGGCGAGAAGGAGATTCGTGTGTAATTAGAATTGAGATGGTATACCGCCAATGTTCAGATTTTATCTGATATACGGCGGCCGCATTGAGTATTTTGCTATTTCCACACGGACCTCATGTATAGTCACTGGATTGATATGATTCTTTTATCTGGCAATGTTTTCCAGCAGCTTGGCTATGATGGTAGGATCAAAAAGGCCAGATCTGCAGGACTGTTCTCACCACATTGCATCTCCTTTTATAGCAGAGCATCATCTACCTGGGCATCGTATATTCGTGTGCAGGAGCAACAGTATAGCCATAGCGAGCGTTCATCGTCAGTACCGGTTGAACAACCCGATCCAGCACAGTCTATCGTCAAGATCTTTACGTAATTTCAAAATCTGACAGTATGATAGCTGGATCCTCTTGTGATGTCAGAGTTCTGTGTGATCACTAAACCTTACAGTTCGAGTGCCAGTGGGTCTGTCAGTGAATGTGTCGTATGTGAACCATGGACCGATATGAATCCGTTCCGAAGCACTCGCATACAAGGAAGCCAGGCTGGTGTGACGAACTATTCGCCCCACAGTGTGACCGGATTGCTACGAGGCTCGGAAATTAATTCTGTCATATGCAGCTAGGCTGCAACGTCCATTGCCATAATGACGGCTGCTTAGTGAATATTGTTAACTGGGTTCAGCAAGCATTTCACTAAACGCCCAAAGAGTATCGGACTTGGATGAAATACATATACAATGTCAACGTAAACAGGTCGTTTGTTAACGCATCATACATTAGTGTTCACCCTAGTAGGACTTAATATGCGCTTCATAAAATAACCCATTCGGTCGGATCGCAGCCGATGATAAATTATGTTCATAGCTCGTCACCTCGACATATTCATTTACCTCATGACCCTTTAAATACTTGCATCAGTTACAAGCCGTCAATCTTGAAATAGTGCTCAAGTTTCCATCGTATACTTTTATACTACTAATACAGAAATGGTACGGGATCTGGGTAAGTGTGAGTTCACGTTTCCTCTTCATTAAAATACCATTGTGCTCCTCCTGTGGTATGGATTTCTGTTTTATTTATTTCTATGGACATCAATTTTAGCATGGAAACTGGGGAAGCTGACCAGAGTATGGATCTCTTTCAGAACAGCGGTGTCTTGTCCTATCGGTGTTTCTGTTAATTTCCTCTCACCCAGACATTATATGTAGCATGATGCCCTGATTCCTTCTCAACCACACATACAATGTGATACGATTGAGATAAATCCCGAGTCCCACAGCGCCTACCAGCTGTGTCCAAGTGGTCCCCGAGATCAAGTATCGTGCTTGTGCTGACGTCAGCACCCATACTGTGCACGAGATCACAAGTTCAATGTTTATTGAATCCTCCTCAATATGCAACTGGTCATCGTACAACCCCGCCAGGTCGCGATCAATATTAGCACCAGGCCCAGCCTCACAAACCTGACATCCGTGAAAGTATACCATCAACATTGCAGTACATGCCGAATTCAATCTGGATCGCTTATTTATAACCATTATCTATAATAATTGATGTGACTTTCACCTAGAGTTCAAATAGGGCTTCGTGATATCGCATAGATTTGACGCTTCGGTATCGTATTGTACTTGGCTGAAGTACGTCGCGAAAGCGTCGGTACCTATATCTGATGTGCTAGTACCACTACTTTCAGTTTTAGCCATAGTCTCAGCCAAACTTGAGAAGTCGCTGCTTTCTTGTGACAGTAGCGCGTTGTCCTTCAGGAAATTTGCTAGCATATCCGCGTTAGTGTTGCTCGTAGGGGTAGCTCCAATCTGTATCTGAGCGTTGAGTGTAGACGATGTCAGTGTTTCTACGGTTTTCCGCTCGCGTTTTGGATTCGATCGCGGATGCTGCTGAAGAAATTGCTGCTGCTGTTGCTGCCGCTGAGCTGTTGACTTGCTACTGTTCGTTCGTGCATATGATGCATCTGAGGCTCCAGATAGACCATTGAGAATATTCTTGAGCTTCAAGAGCGCCGATTCCGCGTTGCTACACCCCTTACTTATCTGATCGGAGGGGCCTGGCGGTATCTGATCGGAGGGGCCTGGCGGTATCTTCGATGGCTCTGCCACATCGTCGCCAGTAGCTGACTGCACAACTGTTCTGGTATGCATGTTTGGCACTTTACGTAATCCGACATATTCGGGGTCCTCCCAGACTCTCGGATTCGTATCAACAGCCCAATCATCGTTAGATGTCGGTCGACGTTGTTGATACCGCAGTGAATGTTGCCGAGCCGAGATAGAAGGACCGGAATTGCATCGCGGGAAGGTTCCGTCGCTGGCGGTGTAGCCCAAATATCTATCATCGCCCATCGCATGCCTGTTTGTGTACATGATGATATAATGTTATAATTCAGAAGGCTGGTTGCATAGATATAATCCTCATATATGTTAAAAATTGCCACCAAAGACATATCAATCCTACACACGAGAATGTATAAAAGTCGACAAGAAGTGTAGTCACGTACCGATCAGTGGCTTGATCGTAGGATCGCCGGATGTGATGACCCGAGAGCGACTGTGAGAACGGTATCTGGTTCATTGTCGTGTTGAAATCATCCTCGCGCCTCTCTCTAAAGCTCTGGTTGATGGAGCGCCATGGGAGGGCGTCATTGCTATGGTTTCTTGGTGGGTGAGCTGAATTTTGAACTCGGGGTGGGAATCGTCTGTTGTTGCCGTATATCCCAGAGCGGTTTCAATGATTAGTTAATTATAACGATAAGAAACCCCTCGCTCGTCTCGATTTGAATGGTATAATTGATCATAGTGATCTTTAGACGATCCAAAAAGATTGCTGAATTCACACAACACAAAACATAGCGAAACATAAAAGCACTTACCGAGATCTGTTGTAGTAGATATGCGGGCTGTAAGGATGAGACCTATTTTGTGATGCATGCACTGCGATATCCTGCAAATATTCCGGGTATCGATGTCCACCCTGATATCGGTCATACATTGAATACGAGCTGGCAGGGTCCGTAAAACCATGTCTCATAGTATAATTAGAGCTGGCCATGGGGTCACCGCGCGAGTCATTCGGAGTCGGGTGTGACACATCCGCAGGTGTTACTTTTCTGAACACCATATCATCTTCATGATCAACTGTTGGGATTTAAAAAAAACGATTTAATAGTAGATCACTAAACAAATAAAATTTGAAGTCATCAGCCATGAGATTGCTAAGCGTGGAGTCAATGGCGAGTTCAATACAGTGTGGTACACTTACCTTTTGGCAAGAGTACTGTGTTCGCAAGGGGTCGCAGAGCCACAGATGGTGCAATGTGTTTCAAACGGATGTGCTGTAGTCCAACCAAAGTAAAATCATCGTGAGAATCAAGTTCGTATATAATAACTCGACTATTTTGCAAAGCAACACTCAACACTACGTTAATTTGCGGACCGCATCCTACGGGCAAGGTACTTATTGTACAATTCAATAACGAAAAGTGGTACACGTCGGCATTTGGAAAACCCACAAAATCTTCACACACAGAAAGAGCACGGATATTGTAATTGGACTGTTTTGCAAAGCACCACTCAGAAATACGCTAATCTCAAACCCGCCACCTCCGATTCACAAGAAGGTATATATCCTACTATCTATTATCTAGATGATGTTACATGTCAGATATGGCATCGAAGATAGACTTTTACACAGAAAATCGTAAAGTCGGATTGCAATGTGTTCATCAAGAATACATGAGTTGGGCTCTTGTATACGATGCGCGGTCAGCAATCAGCATGGTCTGGACTACACAAATCACACCAGATGTTCAGCGATACGAGATTATCAATACCTGATGCATTGAGTGTTCGGAAGCGTATGAACGGTCGCAGTATTCGCACTTCACATTTCGATTAAGTTGCTCGTATGACCGACGAACGCGTTTTTTCGGAGTCGTACTTTTTGACTTATCTTTTTTCAAGTCGTGCTTGTCATTTGGATTACTGTATTTTTCTAATGAAGGAGGCATATTTGTATTTAAATTGCCGCCGAACGAACTGTTGTTATGGTACAAAAGAGCTGACTAGTGGGCACTCTTGTTTATGCGTATGTAGATTGGGTGTCCACAAACTATGATTGCTTGTCGACTTACGATCAATGATATGTGTTGTAACGTTGGCATTGAAAATTAATCGGTAGCTTGTGGCAATTGTTTGTGTTGTCATTCGATACATATATATTATTTTCTGACCCGTCTCATCCTAGTCATCAAAATATCATCACTAAATGAATATCAGTCTGAGACTCCGCGATGATTATTTTTAATTGGTTGCGTATTAAACTGGTTGAAAAATAAATGTTTTAATATTTAGGAGCTTGGGAGTATGTATTTATAAAAGCTCTAAACTCTAAAGAGTAGAGGTGCCTTGACGATATCATCATTCGACATTCGATTTACTAGTAGCATATTACTAGTAGTAGAGACTTGGACAGTTATAGAATTTAATACAATAAAAATATAGCAAATGAAAGAAAAGTAATAAAAAAACTATTGTTTAGAATAAATTAAAACAGTCATTTTAAAAATAAAAATAAAAAACACACCTGTAATTTTTTTTAAACAATCCACTGTCCTTTGCGTGATTGCGTCTAACTATCGACTCCTCTTCTTGTCCTACAGACTATACGGCTACAGCCCGTTTCAAAAACATAAATGGCCCAGCTACTACTCTAGAGAGTCACAAATAAATTCCATGACTGATGTATGACTCTTGAGGAAATTTTCGATACTGAAAAAAAGGTTTTCTAAAAGCCTGTGGCCCTTTGTACGCCCTACAGGCTACTGCTAACGTCAATAAGTTAGACGTGCACGAGGTAAACGTTAGATTTTTAACGGTAACTTTTATTTGGGACAAATCAATTATCAATTTTTTCAAATGTGCACTCGATAAGTTGTTCTATTTTTGAAAATATTGGGCCCCGAAATGTGTAATAGCCAATCAGAATCTACAACTAATTGACTTGGCATTTGGCAATACCCATATTTCGTATGCCATTGATGTGCACGACAAACAACTATGAAATATCTTTTAGACATTTCTCGAGGATATCCTACATATTCACGTACACTTTGCACATATTGCTAGCTCTGAGTGGCGTTGAGCCGCTCGGGGAAGCTTCTGAACGCGCACATAACAAAATAAATGTTAAAAGTTGTAGGCTATTTAGGAAAGTGGCGAGTATTGATAAATGTGCGGACTGAAAACAAACAGGACAAATATCTGACACATCTTGACCTGTAAAATGCACCTATAATATATCAGACTGTACCTATCAGTTATAAACGTTAAATTTTTCTCGTTAACTTTTTGATAATTAAAAGTTATATCGTTTAACTTATTGAGGTTAGGGCTACGGCCTACAGTAGGCTACAGGCTACAGGCCTACAGGCTACAGGCCACGGTCTATACTCCTACAGGCTATTTATCAGATTTATGACTCTTGAGCAAAATCTTGAAATTTACCCCACCCTATCATATGTACCATCGGCTGGCGGCAGCCGCCAGCCCACCTCTCTCTCTCTCTCTTTCTCTGCTACTCTCTAGTAGAGAGTAGAGAGTAGAGATAAATAGTAGTACTATAGTACACATAGTAGACTACATACCCGAGGACTCCCCTGGAGGCCCGGGCTGCCCAACAGTGGCCAGGGGTACTTTTATTTTGAGAGTTGGGAACTTGGGGGACCTGTTGAGGGATTCTGGATTGTCATTTTTGTATCATGCTATAGTTTTTCAAAACAAACAACTCCAATTTTTTTAACTTTAACCTCTCTTGGTGCTCGCGGTCGGCCATACAATTGGCCAGTTATCAAAATTAGCCATACACACAGACAGAAAACCACAAAGTTTGTGCAAAATATTACTCGAACAAAATGAAATACGGAGCTGGTATTACTATTGCTCCACAACTCTTTGTACCGATTTACATCAGTACGTGTATTCATTTTACATATTTGTTATATAAACGAGCCAAATACCACGCAATGAATAGTTGAATACTCAATACTGTACAACAGTGTGTACGTCCTACAATTCAAATTTTTTCTTGTATTGTTTTTAAAAAACACTAAAAAGAATGATACGTATACGTACTGTATTTATATTTTATTGTCGATAACTAATGTGTTTATAAAAACATAGCCTGGCGGTTGGCGCCCTGGACCTGAAGTTCTGAACTTCCAGCTCCAGGTGGGGCCCATATGTAAATAGAAAGTTATTTCATAGCCTTCTAAATGTTTAATAAAAATTTAAAAAAATGTTTTTTTGTTTTTATAAAACAATATAACAAGTAACACAATAGCCTTCGAACGAAAAACAAAGGCCATGCTGGGATGATAACTGGATAATTACTCCGGACAGTCCAAAAAACCAGTGCTTAGACTTTCGGAGTCTGAGATTTGTTTGTCCATTTGCCCTAAAAAATCTCGAATTTTGTCCAATGTCCGTCTATTTGTCCAACATTAGGAAATGATATTTATGGTTTTAGAAATGATATTATGCTATTTTGGCGGGAATAATTTCGAAACTGAATGCTGAAAGCGGATCCTCGCAGGAGTCATAGCCAACTTGCCACATAGTGTTATAGCTGCCTTCTAGATTGAACACTCTCAATCTTTCAAGTTTCATAGGGGTTATTTATTTGTTCATATTACATATCCCTCTGAAAATATACACATTTAGTTACATTTAGTGAAATATGTCAACCAGTACAGACGATACACGCCCTAATAGCCCTATCACCATCAAAAACACACGTATACACAATCACACTCACTCAGTCACTCACTCACTCACGTACACATATACACGTGCGCGCGCGCGTGCTCACTCACTCATTCACATTCACGTTCACACTCGCACACATACACTCATACCCACACTCACACTCACACTCACACTTGCCCACACTCACATTCACATTCACATTCACGCTCACAATCAACTTTCAGTCTCAGTCTTAGTCTCACTCAAATTCACACTCCTTCAAACTGTATCCGAAGTCAATCAGCAGCCTTTAATGTATAACAATTTAAATTTATAAAACGAATAAATTTATATGCAAAATATATGTATGTGCACACATGCACATATGCACGACAAGTGTGTGTGTGTGCGTGTGTGTGTGCGTGTGTGTGTCTGTGTCTGTGTATATGTGTGTCTGTGTGTGTGTGTCTGTATATATATATATATATATATGTGTGTGTGTGTGTGTG